GCATATAAGCATAACCAATGGATACAGACACTGGGGATGGGGGTGGGAGGGAGGTGTGGCATGTGCCAGGGGGTAAGGGAGGTCAATGGGGGAAAAAGGAGACATATGTACTACTATTTGTAATACTTTAAACAATGTTAAAAACAAAGAATCCCCTTTTCAGTAATATCCAATCTTGTAAACTCATAGGAATATATTCACATCAACCTTTGGATGACCAAACTGTTTCTCCCTCAGCCCCCCTTACTCACCCCACTGCCTGTCTTGCACTGCCCACCGCTGTGGATATCACCCCAGATGCTGCCAAGCACCTGTTCCTCGACGCCTATGGTAGCAAGTGCTGCACAGGTAGGAACCCAGGACTCATCCTGGATTCTCCCCTTTCTCACTTCCCACATGCAGAGCACAGCACATTCTTTTAGTTTCCTCTCCAACCTCGTCCAGAGCTACGTCCACTCACCCCCATAAATCTTTTTGGTACAAAGTTAAAGTGAACTTGTTTAGACAAATTGGATCTTGTTCCTTTGGGGCTGGACACTGTAAAATAAAATTTCAACTCTCACCAGCACCTGCTGGGGCCCTCTCATCAGACTCCCCTTGAGGCCACTGCTGCAATGCAGCTCAGCCCAGAGAACTCGTGGATCTGAAGTACAGCCCCCTGACTCTATGCCAGCCTGTCTTTCTCTGATTTTTTCATATACTTATCAAAATTAGGAATTCATTTCTTCTGTTGTATTACATTTTTTAATCTGTCCCCTAAAACCAAATGTATGCTCCATGAGGTCGGGCAATCTGCCTGTCAGCTGGCACAAAGGGCTAGTCACAGCTATGAATTAATAAGTAAATACTAGCTGTGTGAACAAGAGTTGTGTTTTTGACTAAGTCTACAACTCGACAACCAGAAGAACAGCTCCACTGCTCAGCCCAGGGTGCTCCAAGCAGAAGCACGGCCACAGGCTGGGTACAGGAGCAGGGGACTGCACTCAGGGCCTGGACACCAGGCTGCCCAGACCATAGAGGTAGTTATAGTTTTAGTTCTGTGTCAGATTTCACTACATCCATCTTAAGAAAATAGTGTATCTCAATCTCCCCAGAAAGAACACTGTTCTGCTATAACAAACCCGATCCAATGCCTAACTTGTAACCCCAGGCATTCCACGTTAACTCCACAGATTCGACATCAAGTGCAGAGGCTCTTTTAACTACTGATGACGACCATGATGAATATTCACCACATGCAATCCCACCCAATGTGTGTCAGGCACTCAGTCCTCCAACACTGGAAGTCAGGCAGCATTACCAGCCCCATATTTACAGATGAGGAAACGGGGGCAGCGAGAGGTTACAAAGCCTGTTTATGGTCACACAACAAGTGGTAGATTCAGGATCTGAGTTCTAAGATCTTTCAACTCTTGACAGCTGAGGCTTGAATAGCCACCATTATCAACCTTTATGAGATGGCAGGCCAGCACCTACCTGTGCACAGCAGAATCTTGCCCTGAGTCAGGTACTTGATGGTTTCTGAGGTTTTCCTGAGACATTCCTCAGAAAGATAGGGGGGATCCGCTATGACAATGTCAAAACTATGATGGGCAATATTTACAGGGAAGTCCAGTGGATTATTGTAATCATAGAAGATAAACTCCTCTCCATAAATGGAGAATCTTCTGTCATACTCAAAGAGGTATACAGCCAAGTCTTCTCTGTGCAGCTCTCTCAGTTTCTGGTAAACACTAGGGGTGCTCACACAGGCCACCCTGGAAAACAAAGTGAATATGTGCACAAAGAGCTCCGGTAGACAGCTTCCAACGTTAGACAACTTCACTAAACACCAGAGGTCCTAGGCACACATCTTCCTAAAGGAAATAACACTGCAACTAACGTGACAGCAGTAAATTATGAGAGAAAACAAAATGCCTCACTTTTAAGGAATCTGGTATTTAAAAATCTGAAACTCATAATCTTAAGGTACGAAAGTGATACACGTGCTCTTTATAGTAAAAAATGTAAAACATTAGGAACATATAAAGGCAAAATTAGGTAGCCCAAAGTCTAAATTTACCTATTTCATGTTCCTTTAACATTTACGTCAAATACTGTTAATCTCAAACTAAATATTTTGAAGTTACTTCGTGATATTCATAATCTTGAGAGGAAAACCCCAAATAACTGCTTTAGCAACTCCAGTTTTCAAAAAAAATACATTAAAATGAGGTCTCAGTACAGAAAAGCTACTTTAAATTTCTGTAGCTTTTTAAAAATATATATATTTTTATTGATTTTAGAGAGGAAGGGAGAGGGAGAGAGAAACATCAATGATGAGAGAGAACCATTGATTAGTTGCCTCTTGCACGCCCCCTACTGGGGATCGAGCCTGTAACCCAGACATGTGCCCTTGACCGGAATCAAACCCAGGACCCTTCAGTCCGCAGGCTGACGCTCTATCTACTGAGCCAAACCAGCTAGGGCTCTGCTGCTTTTCTATATAAGGAAATTATTACCAGCAGCCTACAGTTTATGAACGGGTAAGCACTGTCCCAATAGTTAACTCTTTTTTTTGTTAATCTTCATTCAGGGATATTTTTCCATTGATGTTTAGAGAGAGTGGAAAGAGAGGGAATGAAGAGGAGACAGAGAAAAAGAGAGAGATGAGAGAGAGAAAGAGAGAGAGAGAGAGAGAGAGAGAGGAGAAAGACATTGATTGGTTGCCTCGCTCCAACCGAGGATTGAACTTACTACCCAGGTACATGCCCTTGACCAGGAATCGAACCCGAGACTCTTTGGTGCGTGGGCTGACACTCTAACCACTGAGCTCACCGGACAGGGCCCAATAGTTAACTTTTAAAACCAACTGCGAAAGAAGCTAGAAATAAATACTGAACTATGGAGTTGATTGTGGTCCATCTGTTACAATGGAATGTTATGTAACATCACACCCCCAAGACACTCCAGGAACACAAGGGGCAAAAAGACATTTGCATGAGTGTGAGAAAATATGCTCAGAGGCACAAGAGCCAGAGACCATGGCTGCCTCACAGGAGGAGAACTGGGGGCCTGGAGATAATGAGGAAGGAGGATAACATTTTTTCAATCCCCTTTAGAACTTTTAGATATTTATCATGCATATATATTATCATTCAAAACAGTACTTTTAAAAATTAAACTCAGCCTTAAACCTGTGAGGGTCATTTCTGTACACGTGCACATTAGGCACCCAAGCTAGCTAGATAGGCTGCTTGGTCCAAAAACTCTTGAAGTATGTAACAGCCTGATGATGGCACATATGCATCTGTGGAAAATGTGCATGTCCGTCTGGGTGACAGGGGCAATCAGAGCTTCAGCCCAGGATGCTGCCAGAGTTTGGGGGAAAGGAGGGAGAGTGAAGGTAGAGGGCCAGATGTCTTCACTGTGCTGGGATAACAAGCAGCAATCATATGCACAATGAACTATCACCCAAGAAAGAGGATGAAATAAAGGTAGTTTCAGACCAACTAAATCTGAGCTTGTTGCCAAGCAGAATTTCTCTAAAATATTCTGAAGGATGTACAAGGCAGCAGAAAAGTGTCTCAGATGCAAGAAGGAGGGAGCAGAGTGTGGTGAACCCAGGGGGACAATGGGGTTTGTCATGGTGGGGTCCTAGGGCAACTCACTCCTGAGTTCCCTTGTGCAAGTGGCTGAATCTCTTGAGCCTCAGCTCTGTCTTTAGAATAGAGAATATAATGGTAACTACCTCACAGGGGTGTGAGAACTAAACAAGGTGACCCTCATAACCTGCTGACACAGAGGACAGGACAGGCAGCAATTACTCAGTAAATGCTCCCACTTTTACTCATCTTTAAGATTATTGCCCTAGCTGGTTTGGCTCAGTGGATAGAGCGTGCGCCTGTGGAGTGAAGGGCCCCAGGTTCGATTCCAGTCAAGGGCACATGCCTGGGTTGCGGGCCATCCCCAGTAAGGGGGGTGTGTAGGAGGCAGCTGATCAATGATTCTCTCTCATCATTGGTGTTTCTATCTTTCTCTCTCCCTTCCTCTCTGAAATCAATAAAAATTTATTTTTTTAAAAAGATTATGACACAGCTCCTGAAGATGCCTGTCAGAAAAAATTAAAAGTTGCATCCGAAGCCCTCATATTAACGGAAAAAAGAAAAAAAAATGTATAAAAAACACTGTCATTGAGAAAAACCTAATAAACAACTACAGGTGATTTAAAAAGAAAACAGAAAAAAAAAAAAGAGAAACTTGGGACTTCTAGTTAAAGATGGTGGATGGGAATGTAGATTTGCACCTTCATGAAGTCCACTCAATATACCACAAGTAAGATTCTGTTTTGTTGTTGAAGCCAAGAAGAGAAAGAGAATGTGAGAAGAGACAAAAGAAACACACATAGAAAGCTGGAAAACAGTGGAGAGTGCTATCTGACTTGGCAGACCCAAACACCAAATCCTGAACTGGCAGCCAGGAAAGCTGGGGAGCAACCTTATCTCCATCACCGCACCCAAGGCTCAGGATCTGCAGACCAGTAACTCAAGAAGCTGCTGAAGGTTACATGGGGCAGACAGTAATTCCCAAGACTCTCCTCCTTCTCCCAGGAGATAGAAACCTGGAGGGATGGTCTCTGGATTGGGGGACAAAAAGGGAGTGCCAGCACAACTAGTAATGTGGTACAGTGTGGCAATGACAAGGATTAAGTTAAACCCACTGGATGCTAGGGCCTTCAGCCCTCTCAGTAATGTGGTCCCCCAGATGATGTCACAACACACATAACTTCCAGGGAAGAATTAGAAGACTCTTCCTAGAGCTCTGACCAGCCCCAGAGGAAAAGACTCAGCGTGACACTGGGATTCCCTAGGAATAGCTCGCCCAGGTCATCCAACTGCAGAGATTAAGCAAGAAAGTTCTGCCATGTGTCACAGCTTTCCGACATAATCTGAGTGGCCGGTGAAGGTCAATGGACATTCAAGGAAAACATTTAATATTAGAGACCAAAATAAATGAACAGAAAAGGCACATTGTAGTAAGCAGATTAAGTGGGGAGAAGAAAACTTTTTAAAAAATCTTGTAATTAATATCCTCAGAAGGATAAACAAGATAAAATAATGAATATTCATCACAACCAATGAATGCAATAATAAGTGGAACAATAAATAGATGTTTCCCTCTCCTCCTTCCTCTCTTTCTAAAAATCAATCAATAAAATTTAAAATAAATAAATATATATTCAGAGACCCCAAAAGAGATCTGTAAATGAATATGTATATGACAACAGAAATGGTAAACTCAGCAGAGAATTTAGAAAATAAAGTTGAGGAGTATTCCCAGAAAGTAAGGTAAAAAAGACAATAGGTGGAAAAGAAGACAGTAAGGAAAGTAGATCAGGTCCAACATTCAAATAACAGGAGTTCTAGAAAGAGGAAGAGAAAAAACAGTGGGGGAGGAAATAGGCTTAAGACAGTTTTCCCAAACTGAAGGAAATGAGATTGAAAGAGCTCCCCACCCAGCACGAGAGGGGAATACTCTACACCAGGACACATCAAATATTAGGAATTAAGAAAAAAACCAAGTTTGCACTGAGCAAGGAAAAAATGGGTTTCCTGCAAGAACTCAGAACAGCATGGGATTTCTCAACAGCACCTATGGATACTTGGAGGCCAGGAAGCAATGTCCTCAAAACCTGGAATTACATACCCAGCAAAACTATTACAATTGAGAGTAAGAGTGGAATAAAGGCATTTTCAGAAATGAAAGGGTGTTTTTAAAAATATTTTTAAATTTATTTCATAGAGGAAGGGAGAAGGAGAGAGAGATAGAAACATCAATGATGAGAGAGAATCATTGATTGGCTGTCTCCTGCACACCCCCCACTGGGGATGGAGCCCGCAACCCAGGCATGTGCCCTTGACTGGAATTGAACCTGGGACCCCTCAGTCTGCAGGCTGACGCTCTATCCACTGAGCCAAACCAGCTAGAGCCAGAAATGAAAGGTTTGAAAAATTCCCTTCCCACATATCTTTTTTGTGGAAGCTATTGAAGGATGGACCTAACCCAGATTAAGGCTGCAAAATGAGAACTGGGGTACAGGAAACTGGAAATCCAAAATAAAAGAGAGGAAAAAGGACTATGAGCATGATGGTGAAGAAAGATACCAAGATAAGAACTGTAACAAAGCTAGAAATCAACCAGTCCAGCTTGGTAAAGCCATGAGGTAATATTTTTCAAGGAGTTGAAATATTTTTGCATTTATAGATAGGAGATATGCATAACTGGGGAAGAATTTGATGGTTAGTAGGTGATATGGACATAGAAACACATAAAAAAATAGAAAACTTATAATTTTACAATAAGAAAAAGTAAAAGGTTCAGCTGTAAAGAACAATATGAACCCTGTTATAGGCCAAATCTGGAAACAATACTATTGGGAGCATGGACAGAAAGCATGCACATCTGTGGAAGTAATAAAGTCTGAACCAGCTTTTTAGGACCATTCGATGTTAAATTCCATGCATGTAAAGTTTTGTGGATTTTTATCCTCACCCGAGGATATGTTTATTGATTTAGAGAGAGAGGCAGGGAGAGAGCAAGAGAGAGAGAGAAACATCAATGTGAGAGAAAAATTGGTTGGCTCCTGTATGCGCCCTGACTGGGGATTGAACCCACAACTTAGGTATGTGCCCTGACTGGTAATGGAACCCACAACCTTTAGGTGTATGGGGCAATGCTCTAACCAAATGAGCCACTGGGCCAGGGCTATGCATGTAAAGTCTTGATAAAAATAAAAACCAAGTTAAAAAAAAGAAAACCTACATTCTTAAAATTTCAAAAAGTCAAGTATTAAGATTTTTTTCTCTTAAAACAAACTGTAAGGGTATAAAAGTAAGGAGCAGGTTAGCAAATATTAAAATACAGGACAGAGATAAGACATCCTACAATGCATACATTTCTGGGTGCCCCTAAACTTGTTATTATAGCAGTTCTTATTCCTCATATTCTATAAATCATGAACTACAAACTTTGCAGATTATGAGTCAGACTTCTTACAAACCATCTCTCATCGAGGAAGGACATTGAAAATATTAATTTAGATTAAACAAAAAAGAAACAAAATTTGAATCTCACCTTCCACCTTCCCCAGCAGCCGCAGTCACTTCCTTAGCAAGGCGCAAAGCAGTTTCCTGACTGTACCAAAACTGGCTCAATTGCTGTAGCAAAGGGATGAGTTCAGATCATTTTAGAATTAGCATAAATTTGGTTCCTTTAATTTAAACCTGTGCATATACTTAATATTTCCCTTTTTCTTCTTAAAGCCAATTTTTTGAAATTATTTAAAATTTTATTTTATTGTTTAAAGTATTACAAATAGTAGTACATATGACTCCTTTTTTTCACCATTGACCTCCCCCCGGCCTCCCCTGCCCCCCGGCACATGCCCTCACCCCCTAACCCCCAGTGTCTTACGTCCATTGATTATGCTTATATGCATGCATACAAGTCCTTCGGTTGATTTTAAATTAATAGACAAACAGGGATCCAAGATGGCAGGGAGTAGGTAGAAGTTATACTCAAGTCCTTCTAGGAACACACTGGAATTACAATTAAATTATAGGACAATCAACCTGAATAACAAACTGAAGACTAGCTGAAGAGAAGTCTTATAACCAAGGATTTATAGAATAGCTAGATCAAGACTGGTAAGAAGGTCAGAGACACAAAAAGGGCTGGCCCCTACTACATGCATCCAGTCCCAGACAGAAGCAGCCATCACCTGTGGATTGCTTTGTAGCTCCTACCAGGCACCTCAGGTCACAGGCAGCATCTGACATTGACCTGAACATGAGTCTCTCCCAAGAGGCCCCAGAACCAACACACCCTGGAGCTGGCTTCAAAGCACAAAAGAACACCACCTGATTAGTTCCACAAAAGGCACATCCAAAGGAAGATCTCGGCAAGCACCAGACCCTACTGGGACAAATTCTGCTTCATAGGGTCAGCCCCCTGCACAGTAGCTCATATACTGTGGTTGGGGTCAATCCTCACAGTCAGACAGCCTGAGCGTCAACCCCACCCACAGATGGGCCAACAGTAATCAAGACTCAACTACAACAGGAGGACTCATAACCCAGGCAAAGAACACCTGTGGAGCACCCAGCTCAGGTGATCAAGGATACTGCACCACTGGGCCCCACAGGATACCTAATACATAAGGCCACTCTACCAAAACTGGCAGACAAAGCAGATCTACCTAATATACAGAACTCCTACCCCACCACACAGAGGCAGATAAAATGGGGAGACAAAGAAACATGCCCCAAATGAAAGAACAGGAGAAATCTCTAGAAAAAGAACTAAATGAAATAGAGGCAAGCAATCTACCAGACACGCAGTTCAAGACAATGGTTATAAGGATGTTCAAGGAACTTAGAGGAAGAATGGATGAACTCAGTAGTGAGAACTTCAACAAAGAGATAATAAGCATAAAAAGCGACATAGAAACCACAAAAAGAACCAGTCAGAAATGAAGACTACAATATTTAAAATTAAGACTACACTAGAAGGACTAAACAGTAGGTTGGATGAAGCAGAAAATCGAATCAACAATTCGCAAGGCAAGGTAGCATAAAACACCCAATCAAAGCAGCAAAAATAAAAACAATTTTTTTAGTGATTTGGCAGCTCCCTCATCCTGAACATGCCATGGCTTCCTCCTTTCCCACACCTCATTCTACAAGGCCTAAGTGAAATGTTTCCTACCCTGGAAGGACCCCCTTGACCTTGCGATCATTATGTCCTTATTCGTTTCCTCTTCCATGGCATTGTACTCTATTTTAAGAACCTGCATTATGTTATGTTGCATAACAGTTCCTTTCTCCCACCAGATGATAAATGCCTGTAGTCAGGGATCATTCTATGCATCTTGACAACTCTCTATCCTCTCCCTTCTGATCTGAAATCAATAAAACATTTTAAAAAATAAAAAAAAAAAAATTCCAACCCAGCCAATGTGGCCCAGTGGTTGGGTGTCAACCCATGCACCAAGAGGTTGCCAGTTCCATTTCCGGTCAGGGCACATCCTGGGGTTGGGGAATTGATCCCTGGTGGGGGCATGCCAAGAAGCAGCTGATCGATGTTTCCCCTCTCATCGATGTTTCTCTCTCTCTCTCTCTTCCTCCCTCTGTAAAAATCAATAAAAAATCTTAAAGAAAAAAGTCCATAATACCCAAAGGAATCTATAGATTCAATGCAATTCCTATCAAAATACCAATGGTGTTCTCTACAGAACTAGAAAAAATCTAAAAATTTATGTGGAACCACAAAAGATCCAAATAGCTACAGCAATCTTGAGAAAGGAGAGCAAAGTTGGAGGTGTCACATTATCTGATATCAAACTATACTACAATGCTATAATAATCAAAACAGACACATAGATCAATGAAACAGAATAGAAAGCCCAGAAATAAAACCACACTTACATGCCACTTAATATATGACAAAGGAGACAAGAACATACAATGGGGTAAAGACAGTCTATTCAACAAATGGTGCTGGGAAAAAAGGAACAGATACATGCAAAAAAACTGAAACTAGACCATCTGCTTACACTGTATATAAAAATAAACTCAAAATGGATTAAAGACTCAAATATAAGACTCAAAACCATAAAAGTCCTAGAAGAAAACATAGGCAGTAAAATCTTGGACATTCCTTTGAGCCATATATTTTATGATATACCTCAAACTAAAAAGTTTTTGCACAACGAAGGAAACCTTCAACAAAATGAAAGACAACCTACTGAATGGGAAAAGATATTTGCCAATGATACATCCAATAAGGGGTTAATATCCAACATTTATAAAGAAGTAATACAACTGCCCTAACCGGTTTGGCTGAGTGGATAGAGCGTCAGCCTGCGGACTGAAAGGTCCCAGGTTTGATTCCGGCCAAGGGCATGTACCTTGGTTGCAGGCACATCCCCAGTAGGAGGTGTGTAAGAGGCGATGTTTCTAACTCTATCCCTCTCTCTTCCTCTCTGTAAAAAATCAATAAAATATATTTTTTTAAAAAAGGAATACAACTCAACATTAAAAAAACAAACAATCAAATTAAAAAGTGGGCAGAGGCCCTGGCCAGTGTTGCTCAGTGAGTTGAGTGTCATCCCATGCACCAAAATGTCGCTGATTCAATTCCTGGTCAGGGCACATGCCCAGTTGCAAGGCTCGATCCCCAGTGGAAGCATGCAGGAGGCAGCAAATTGGTATTTCTCTCTCACATCAAGTGGCCAAGACGAGTGGATAAAAAAAGCTGTGGTACATATCTATAATGGAATATTACTCAGCCATAAACAAGAATGAAATCTGCCCTGGCCGGTGTGGCTCAGTTGTTGAGCATCATCCTGTGCATCAAAAAGTTGCCAGTTTGAATCCTAATAACGGTACATGCCCAGACTGCAGGTTCAGGTTGCATAGAGTAGGCAGTTGATGGATGTTTCTCTCTCACGTTGATGTTTTTCTCTCTCTAAAAATCAATAAAACATAGTTTTAATTTAAAAAAGAATGAAATCTTACCATTTGCAACAGCATGAATGGACCTAGAATGTATTATGCTAAGTGAAATAAGTCAGACAAAGAAAGAAAAATACCATGATCTCACTTATATGTGGAATCTATAAAGCAAAATAAATGAATAAAACAAAATAGAAAAAGACTGATAGACATATAGAACAAACTGATGGTTTCCAGAGGGGTGGGAGAGTTAGGGGACTGGGTGAAAAGGGTGAAGGTATTAAGAAATACAAATTAGTAGTCACAAAATAGTTACGGGGATGTCAAGTAGAGCATAGGGATGTAGCCAATAATATTGTAATAACTAGGTATGGTGCCAGGTAGATATTCAAAATATTGGAGGGACCACTATGTAAACCATATGATTGTCTAACCATCATTCTGAAACTAGCACATTGAATGTAAACTGTAATTGAAAAAAATTTTTTTAAAAAAATAGAAGGCCCTAACTAAGTATGGAATTGATGCACTGGGTACCACTAGCTGCTCATACCACAAAAGAAGACAAGCAGTCAATGTTTCTCCTGATGGAAGAACACATCCCCACCAGTGTATGAGTACTGCCCAAAACACTAAACCTGAATCTGATTAAGCCTCTAGTCTAGATTCAACTAGCAACTATCAGGATCACAAATACAGAGGATTGGAGAACGTGTGAAACACCACCACAGAGATGCCCAGGCCCTACCCTTTTTCTGTGGCCTCCTGTCTTTACCTGAGGAATGTTTACTGAATTACTTGCTTTTCCCTTAGGGGCAAGTTGTTTGTTTTTCATGGTGTTCCTTCTATTCATGCTGATTATTTCCTTTCAAATTTCTAGTGCGCCTTAATTATCTACTCACATTTATAAATTATCTTATTTTAATGGAAAAAGTGGATTCCTCTGCAATGCAAGAGGCCCATTTCTCCCCTGAATGACTGGTGTGAGTATGCTGCCAGTGTACACTGATATTTCATAAACCCAGATTTTAAATACTTCCAAAAAATACATGATCATTTCAATAAATGCAAAAAGAAAAGCATTTAACAAAATTCAACACCCCTTTATAATTAAAACAAAACTTAAACAAAAAATAATTCTTTATTGTTGGAAGTATTACAAATGTCCCCCTCTTCCCCCCATTGACCCCCTGCAGCCCACCCCACCTCTCACCCCAGGCCCTCACCATCCCATTGTCTGTGGCCACGGGCCATGCATATATGTTCCATGCTTCCATGTCTCTGGATCCACTCCATTCATCAGTTTATTTTGTTATTTAGATTCCACATATGAGTGAGATCATGTGATACTTGTCTTTCCCTGACTGACTTATTTCACTTAGCATGTTACTCTCCAGGTCCCTCCATGCTGTCTCAAAGGGTAAGAGATTCTTCTTTTTTACTGCTGCATAGTATTCCATGGAATAAATGTACCACAGCTTTTTTACCCACTCATCTAATGATGGGCACTTGGGCTTAAAACAAAACTCTTAGCAAATTAGGAGTTGGGAACTCCTTCAAACTTACCAAGGGCATCTAGAAAAAAACAACAGCCAATATCATACTCAGAGAGTGAGAGACCTAACATTTTCCCCATATGATTAGAAGCAAGCAAGACTGTCTGCTTTCAATATATTACTCAACATTTGCATTAACACAAGAAAATAATAGTAAATAAAGAAGTAAAACTGCTAATATTTGCATGTTATATGATTGTTTACCTAGAAAATATCAAGAAAAAAATGTTTCCAAAGATGAAATATACATATTAATTTGGATATCTGTACCTATGAACTCATGTCTGTGTACATTTATGTCTACATGTCCATGTCTAACCATTCTTAGCTACTGCAAAAACTCCAACCTCTGATTCCCTCTTTGCCTATAGAAAATCCTCCATGGATGTAGTATGTAGGGCTTTTGCTTCACTTGATTTGGGAGGCAGTAGAGTTTTCTGATGGTTGGCTACTGAGCTGCCCTTCTCCCACATTTTTGTCAGAGCACAGTGATGTGTTTTAGCTGTCCTTGCATCATTTAAAAAAATAAAAATCTTAGTCTTAATCAATGTGTTACACTAATTTGAAAGATATATGCATCCATATATTCAATGCATCATTATTTACAACAGCCAAAATATGGAAGCAACCTAGGTGCCCATCGATAGATAATAAAGAAGATAAATGCCTATATACAATGGCATAATACTCAGCCATAAAAAAGAATGAAATCTTGCCCAGCCAGTATTGCTCAGTGGTTGAGCATCAACCCATGAACCAGGAGGTCATGGTTTGAATCCTGGTCAGGGCACATGCCTGGGTTGTGGGCTCAATCCCCAGTACAGTATGTGCAGGAGGCAGCCGATAAATGATTCTCTCTCATCACTGATGTTTCTATCCCTCTCTCCCTCTCCCTTCCTCTCGCTAAAATCAATAAAAAACATATTTTTTAAATGAAATCTTAATGATACTGTTGTAATTAATCCAGTTATAAATCAAAGTAAAGGTACAAAGGGAAGGCCAAATAATATAGGCATGCCATTTGTGCAACTTTTGCCAGGAAGCTGCAATTTAATATTACCCAGGTCTATTCCCTGCAGATCAATGGGGGAAGGGACTGCACAGGTGGAGAACAGCCACAATCCCAGTAAAGTCTGGGTGAAATAGGGAAGTTACTTGTCTGTCAGTCACACCTGGGAACAGGTCAATGGCCACAGTAGGCATGGCCACTGCAAGCACAGAAAGATTTGAGATACTTAAGCTCCTAAACAAAGGAGCTCACCCTCTCTTGCTCTTGGCTTGCTCACACTTGACTCCTGGCTTGCAGGGCTCTCACTCTCCTACATTCACCCTCCTCTAATGGACTTCAACTACCTTAGTGCTAAACTGGACCCAGCTACAATATGGAACAGAAACTTGGACACTGGTTTTGCTTCTACCTTTATTGAATCCTCAGCTGTACATCTTCTAGGACTGAACTAAGGGAAATGGGAATTTACAAACCCAGGGATATAATTCCACACAAATAAAAATCATTCACCCTCCCATGCGAGTCTCGGAAAATTCTTTTTCTCAAGATAACATAAGGACCCAACCACAAGCACTCAGTGGAGAAAGGGATACCTCACTTTCACCGATAACATTATCATCTGTGATCATATGGATGGACCTAGAGGGTATTATGCTAAGTGAGGTAAGTCAGAGAAAGACAAATGCCATATGATTTCACTTATATGTGGAATCTAAAGAACAAAATAAATGAACCAACAAAACAGAAATAGACTCATAGAGATAGAACACATGGTTGTCAGATGGGAGAGTGTTCAGGGGGCTGGGTGAAACATATGAGGGAATTAAAAAGCACAAATTGGGTGTCCCTTCTGTCCGCTGGGCCGGGGCTGTAGGGCTCCGAGGAGCGGCGGCGAGGGGCGAGGGCAG